TTTCACGTCTTTTCTCTCGTCGGTTAGCAACAGTCGCGGAAGTCGTTGACGAAACTGCACAGAAACAAGTTAGTTTTCTTTTTCTTGGTTTTTATCAGTAGGAGGGATTTTGCATTGAGATTCATCGCGCTGCAATTAAAGTAACCGAATGACCGTTAAGGTTTGCTCTTCGATTGCTTCTGAAGTTTCTGATCCACATAATCGGCTTTTTGCTGTCGTGTATGTGAATGGACGGCAATGGAAAGTTAGTCAAAATGATCTAATCGCCCTCACGGGGAGTCTACCCATAGCTGTTGGCGATAAGATTAAGCTTGAAAAGGTACGTTTCGTGCCCAGTATACTATAGTTTGGTGTAGGATTATGGTTAAGAATGTTCATTGCAGTGGTCGTTAGTTGTCTAACGACAACCTGTTGAGCTCATTTTGAATGTAAGAAGATAGTGTATACACTTATGACTCTGTAACATTCCCTAACCCTGTTAATTTTCTGGAGGAAAGCTTTTTTTAGCAAATAACTCAGACACGTTTTTGCATCGATCCTCTCACTCTTTTGTTCCGTTCACTGAGGTAAAGGCAAAAACTTGACCTGTTCGTAATCCAACTCTATAATGAAAGCGGTTCTTTGAGTACAATTCGACATCAATGCAATGAGGCATGCTTGCTTTTTTACTTCTTAGCTGCCTATATGTAAAGCTGTTGTAAGGATGGAAGGAAAATGATGTGGTAACGTTTTGCTGAGACCATGTTCCTTGTAGGAACTCATTTTTTTGCATAAAGCTATGAACGAGGTGTTATTGGTGTGTGCCGTCATTGTGAATGCTCATTGTTCCGAACAACATAGCTAGTGAATTTCTACCTCTCTGCTCACTTAGTACCATTCCAGGTTTTAATGGTTGGAGGAAGCCGGTTTTCGGTTTTTGGCAGACCTTTACTGGATTCAGTGAAAGTAGAGGCGACTGTCGTTGAAAAGACTACCAAATATCCCGAATTGCAGTATATCCGAAATAACCACAGTCACCTCAGGGTGATTAACTGTGAGTTTTGTGGATGTTCTCGAGTTAGATTTCAATTCGTGAGTTTTAATCGGATTTCCTTCTTCGATTATTTGCGTTTTTCAGGGCTCAGTGAAGAAGTGACAGTACTGAGGATTAATGAGATCTCAGCAGAAAATTTATTCAAAGAATCTTAATGGAAATGTTTGTTTAGGTTAGGTTGTTTTTGATTGTTTTCTTTTGTTGTAGTGTACTGAGTCGCATCAAATGAAATCTTAGATTATTATCCTTGTACTCTGCAATTTTTTGAAATGGAGGAAGGTAGTGGTGGTAGAGTTAATCCTAACGACGATATCGGAGCAGTTTTCATCGTAGTTCAGCTACCAGCATGAAGCCCTATAAAGGTAAGATGTAGTTTATGATGATTGGACAGAGTATCTGTACTCTTAGCTCTAGTGAGCGTAATCTTTATTTATGACTGGGTCTGTGATCTGTAAACAAAGCAAAATCGCAAGATTCATTGATATGAAGGGAATCGTTACCAAATAAAATGTAAAATATGATTAGAAAGCGTTTAAATGATGAGCGTTGCTTCGTCGAAAGCGAGCGGCAAGTTGTAGAAGGCGTTCCTTGGACACTGAAATGAAAAGGTAACCCCTTACTGTGATAGGTATGAGTGAGGAGTAGGATGACGGGCTGTGTGTGAACGGGTGACGCAGATATCTCTCGTAGAGCTTTATAGTATCGTAATCGAGGTCTTAGCGTATTTTGTTCCTTTGGGAACATGATGGCCTCACTTTCAATGGGCAAACGGAGTTCTGTCTTGCTAAAGTTTAAACGAACTATGGGCTTTTCACTCCCTAAGGTGCGGGTTTTAGCGCAGGCATTGACTAATAGGCTTCGTGTCATGTAATGGGGTATTACTGTGGGCGTCGTTCATGACTCCGAGTGTATCTTTTTGAAGATTCTTCTTTGCAGTCCGCATTCTCGCATGATGGCAGAAATATCAAAAGGTAGTGGGCATTTTGGAGAGTAGCGCTTTGAGAGAAGATAAATTCCAAAATAATGTGAAGTAAATGTTGTTCCGATACAAACGTTGTCCTCACTAATTCGCTTTTAGTTTCCTGCCTGATGTTGAGATTTATGGGGTAGAAAACTAGTGCTCTCTAAGCAATGAGTCAGACTCTTACCTTTGCTCACATTTTTCAATCGATCCTTAAGATCCGGCTCGGCGTTGATGATCAATTCATCGACCACTGGTCCTTCCGGAACGGGTGGGCCTGAAAAATCGTTGTCAGAAAAACCGACTTCTCAAAATTTGATACCTTATTCTTAGAAGTACTAATGTAAATGCTTCTTTATATTATTTGATGCTCAAAAAATTGAAATTACGTGACAGATTAATGCTCTCCGATATTAAATTACCAGTGTATCTCAACAAGTTTCATACTCACCCTGTTCCTTCCCCGAACTTCTCTTCCTGTGGGTTTTGTATGATCGAGATGACGATGAGGAAGTGTACGCTGAAGGAAATTTCTTGACAAAAAATAAATTTTAAACAAAGTAAATAAATAAATAAATAATAAAAATAATAAATATCCAATAATTTTTTTGGGTAACTGTTTGGTCAACTAAAAGAAGACCCGAAAAACTTACGTAGTTGTTCTCGTCGAATCCAACGTAAGAATTCCTTGTTTTGCATTAGAAGCGCTAGTTGTTCGTCCTCGAGCATTCTGAACTCATGATCTTTCATAAATTTGATATTTCTATTTTTTTTCACTGTTTTTGGCCTGAGCTCGCATTTTGTGTATAATAAAAAAGTCGTCAGGAAAGCTTACTGTGTTAAT